TGGTCAGTCCCCTTTCAGATAACTCATCGTCTCCTTCAGAAACTTCACTTGCAGATTCATCAGAACCTGGCGATTCTTTTTCCTTTCTTTCTACCGTCCATTTCTGCATTACATCATATACAGTTCCCCAAATACGTAGCAGACCGGTCAGGTTCTTATGTCCAAACACTGTTTCATAGATTAGCTTATCCCCTAGCTGCTTCCACGCTTCTGAGCTAAAGGGGGGGTTGAGGTCGGTCAGGCATTCATGCTCTGCCGTTTGTTTTTAGAGGTTTTTCAAGAAGGCTTTAAGGTGAGCAGAGACCCAGTCCATTCATTCCAACTCCAGCACACTTCCCTCCCGTGAATACCACATCAGGGCTTGCAGCTTTACCTTCTTCACCAAAGGACTCTTGCTCCAGCTCTGGCTCTTTCAGCTCAGGCTCTCAGCTCCGACGAGGGAGTCAGGGCTTCTCAGGGTCTCACAGATGTATCACGTCAGGGTCACCAGTTGTTGCTCACCAGCCTGGGCTGCAGCTCCAAGGACGCTGTTGCATCTTCTGCAGCCAGGAGGAAATGGCCTGCCTCTTGTAGGCAGGGTCTGTACCTTGAGTTAATTAGTTAATTAGTTCATTATATTCAACTCAGTCCAGCTGGGTAATAATGACTGGATGCCATAGGCGTGTTATTGGTATTCCTTTCGGTAACCCCACTCTGTGCTGGAGGATTCTGGCCAGGCAGGTAGTGATGTACCTACAGAGATTCCCAGCTTGCTTCATGAGGTGCATGGTTTCCTCGGCACAGCAGGGGACACTTCTGACACATTTTACTTGCTGGGCCCCAAACCACAGCTGCACTGACTCCTATAAGCACCGTACTTCAAATTCAGCAGGTGCCCAGTTCAAGGAGGTGTTACAGCAACATGTTCTTCTCTTCGATCTTCTTTAAATGCTCTCTCTGAAACACGCACTAAACACTTGTGCTGCAAAGTCTCGTGCTGTAACTCAGCATTGCTGGAAGTTTGGTCGAATGGTCTTGTTAAGACCTGGAGGAACACTTGCTTCTGCCCCAACCCCATCTCCAAGGCACGTTGGCGCGAAGCAAGCAACACTGGAGACTTTTGCAGGTGCCTGACTGCGTCCTGGTAGTCACACTTGAGTGCTGAGGTGACGTGTGACTTCCTAAAGGCTCGAGATACACGCAGCTCTTGGAAGCCACCCAGCTTCCTTCAAGGGAGCCGGCCATAAGTACTGTAAGTTTTTGTTCATTGAACTGATTTCTTCTGGAACTGGTGGCTTTAGAGTTGCTGTGTCTTGGCTCCTTGTTCCACGCTCGTCTGTGCAGAAGAGACCAATGTGTGTGGGTCAGCCTGTGTGCCGCGATCTCTCACACAACCCTGCCATAAGGCTTTGAGGGGGGATGGAATTGCCTTGTGTTTGTCTTATTAATGCTCCAAGTGATTATTTGTTGTTGTTGTTGTTTTTTTCCCCTCCACGCTTCATTCCCAGGAGCGATCTAGGTCCGAACGTCGGGTATGAAGCCATTGGCCTTGTTGACAGTAGTTTGCCAACAGTTGGAGTCTTTGCTAAAGCAACAGCGAAGGACACGCCGAAAAGCGCGACGGAGCAGTCAGGTAGGACGATAGTCACGCTGGGGGCTGCCTGCCTGCGCGAAGCTTTTCCTGTCCTGCTCCGTGGGGTGGCCACAGAGTCAGGCTGATCCCGCCGCAGGGCACCGGGAGGCGTCCATCTGTGTGCATCTTCTCTAGGCCAAGCTTTAAAGGCTGGTGTAGATATTAAAATGGGATTAAAACATAACATTCCTTCAAGAAGACACGATGTAACTCACTGACCAAAATCAAAACACTTTCCCCAGTGGAGGAAATTTCCACTTAATTTCCTCGGTAGCAATAGAACGATGGGGTTTTGCACGGAAGAGGTGGTGCGAATCGAAGCGCGTTCGGTTCGTGTGTGCTGCCTGGAAGACACAGGCTGTTCCGTCTTTGGCATTTGGTGATGGAAGCTGGGAATTGTCAGCGCTGTGTTTCGTGTTAGGATTGCTTCGTTCTCGCATTACTGGAACGTTAGCTGGATGCAGCTCCAAGGAAAACACCTCAGTGCCTTGCAGAGCCCTGCTCGTTAGTCGGCTTTCGCCGGCGCAGACAAGGAGCTGCTGCTTTCTCCTGCGCTGCATGGTTGATGTCTCGTGTCTTTGCATTAGGGACAGGCATTCGATCAGAGAGTGAAACAGAAGCAGAAGCCTCAGAAGTTCACATTTCTCCAAGCTTTTCTCCAACGCCTCAAGTTCCAAAGCAAGGGGAAGATTACGGCAAAGGTGTCATTTTCTACCTCAGGGATAAAGTTGTGGTAGGAATCGTGTTATGGAACATCTTCAACAGGATGCCTATTGCTCGAAAGGTCAGTACAGGACTCGTATGCTGAACAGTGAAGCTTGCTTAGATGAGAGATTTTCTTGTGGAAAAATCAATCTGCCAATTTAAAATGAGGATAAATAAATGCAGATGCTCTGTCTGGAGCAGAGCTGTGCACTATCCAATGGTAGCCCTGTCTCGGGCGAATTATAGATGTTCTTGTGCTTTTCTGCACGTTGTTCAAAGTTCTTAGAGAAGCACCTTGAATCAGGTTTGTGCTTCCAGCCCGGCCTTTGCATGGCTGCAGTCTCGGGTCTGTAGTAAGTACAGGCGAGACTCACACGCGACGAACATCAGAGCGAAATTCCTGGGTTCGTGCTCCGTTGTCAAACGTACAAGTGTCTGACACGGTCTTAAACATCATCATCCTGACCACAAAGTCAGGGTGAGAAGCAGCCTTGAGTAGGTGCTTATTCTGTCTCCATCCCCCATGGTCTGTCTCCATCCTCCAAGGTAAGATCAGCTGTACTGAGGTCATTTTTTAATATCTTTGGAGAATTTCAGTAGTTGAAACGAGGAGAGTGATTCCACACTGTTCCCAAGTGACCTGTCCCACTCTGAACGGTTCTTAATGTTGGATATTTCTGCTGGTATCTAATCTGAGGCTTTCGTGATGTGGTTTAAACCTGTTACTTCTCCCATCTCCATAAAAGAGAGATCCTTTCCTTCCTTCTCTTAGCAGCCCTTCCTCTAAATCAGAGCGCCGAGTAGGTACGAGATCTTGGCTCGTTCTCTAACAGATGGGTTTGCAAGGTTAAGCCACTTACACCGGCTGCTCTAAGTGCGAAGAGTCTGGCTCATCTTCTCAGAGTTGAGACTAATCACTTTTTGAAGATACTTGTTCTCCCCAGCTGTAAAGAGAAACCCAGACATCCTACAGGGACAGTGAGGTTGGTTTTAATTCCAGCCATTCCTGTAGGTAGATGATGCTACATTTAAGTCCCATATAAATCTGGCCGTGGTGAGCACTGTTGTCATGTTGTGGGCTGCGTTAAGTTGGTGAGTGGTCATCAGCAGAGCTTCAGAGAGGACCTGAGAAACTCATCCTGCTGGCTGGTGGCCACCTACAGTCTTGCAGCACTGGCTGTTTGTAGGATGTGCAGGTTTTAATGGGTTTTTTCTTCCTTCAGATCATCAAAGATGGGGAGGAGCATGATGATCTCAACGAAGTAGCAAAGCTTTTCAACATCCACGAAGACTAAACTCCAGAATGGAGTGAGTAGGGCAGCGGGGACACCCCTTCATCTCACACAGCTTCCTCTGAGTACTTGTGAATACTTCTGGCCACCTGGAGTTCCCAAGTTTGCACCAATAAAGTCGGGTTGTTGTAAGTTTAATGCCTCTTCCTGCCCCTGCGCGTTGCCGGTCTCGAACGGGGAGCGTGCTGCCCGCTGGTCTCAGTTCTTCCCCGTCTCGACCACGCCGAAGCCTGCGGAACCGCCTCTTCTCCTGCAGCGCTTCCCAGCTGCGGAGCGCGCGGTCCCGCTGCGCGGAGGCTCTGCTCCCGCAGCACGTGCTGCCCGCGCAAGGAAAGCACGTCCCGACGGGGTGAAACCGCGCGGGAGGCACCGGCTCCCGTGGCAGCTTGCAGGCGAAGCTGGGTGCGTGTTCCAGCCTGGTGGCCAGTGTAAGATGGGGTCTGGAAGGAATGGGAAGAGTAAGGAGAGAGGCTTGAAGGAGATGAGGGACTGAATGATGAGAGTGATGGCGGCGGCACGGCCGTGTGGGTTTGGAGAGCACAGGCTGAAGTGAGTGGGGAGATCCAGTCACCAGTGATGCTGGAGCCAGGGGTGTGGTGGTGTTGGGAGCACGTTCTCCAGCCGCCCTGTGGAACGTGAG